ATTCCTCCCCTCTACATCCTCAATCCTTTCTCCTCGCTCATCTATCCCTCTCCTCCTTCCTCTTACTCCTGTTCCCGCTCCTCCTTTGCCTCCCTTCTTCTGTTCCAGCTCCTCCGCCTCCTCTTTCGCCTACTTCGCCTCCTCCAGCCCCTCCAATCTCATCCTTCTCCCTTGTCCTTGCCTAATCCCCTACCCCCCACCCCCACCCCCGTCAAGACCCTCCCTCGACTCATCGTATTCATCACCCACCTCCTCCACCTACCCCTCCATTATACAATTTCCACTTGTGCCAGAAGGCATTGCAGAGTGGCCAGGTGGCCCCAGGGTGGAAGTGTCTACCAACCCCTGCCCAAGCGCAAGCCGAGCCATATTTCATTTCTGGTACGGGACGTGAAGCGTGTTCGATACCAGTTGGCAGTGTCGATATGGTGATATAGAACATGCTGCCATCAGTTATGCAGGAGCAAGCGGGTCAGTATAAAGCGGGCGCGGCCGCAAGAAACCCTCGCAAGAAACCCAACCCTGAGAACCCGTGCGCGAGGTGCACCTGAGGGGAAACCTGGAGCACCCTGAACGCAGCAGCTCCTTCAACGGCTGCAGGAAGTCACCGCGCTGGGCGAGGAGCGAAGAAACCCAGGATACCCTGACGAAAAGCATATGGTTTCTTGATGCGCGCCCCCGCTGTACCAGATCGTGCAGTGCTTCGAGCATGGTGGGTAGATGGTGCCTCCGCCAGACAAGATTCCATGTTGCACATGCAGCGGGAACACGACTGGCTCGTCCACAGCTACACGACGCGATCACTAAGTTAAGAGTGTGCCCAAAGAGTGCGAGCCTGGCGGGAGTGCAAGCTTGCGTTGCCGTTGCCGAGACCGTGGTCCCACAACTCGCCGTGGCTCTGCCACGAAATCGCGGCACGGCGGCGGCCGCCGTCCCAGTCCGAGGGGCTCCCGACACTGCTGGAAAGGAGGAAGAAATGTGCCCGAAGCCACCCCCAGGCCGACGTCCATTCTCAAAGGGGCCCAGGGACACACACACACACA